CCCGTGGGCGGGGGCGATGAGCTCTATCAAAGAGCCAGGGGGCAACCGAAGTCCTTCGCAGGCCCCAGCGAAGACACGGCCGCGAGGGCGATGCAATCTGTCACTCTGGCAGAAGGCGTTCTTAAGACCGCCGACATGCGAATCAAGGCCGTGCATGAAGGGGTGCGATCAATAACGCCATGAGTGACTCCATCTGGGGGGTCGGAACGAAGGCGCGAAACTCCGGCGTGTCCTCGTCTTCGCGCCCCCTCGCGCACCATCGCGCTTTCGCTACCAGCCGAGAGAACGTGCTCTTCTGGGGTTTTGGGTTTCCACCTCCCGACGCATCTCGAGCTCGCAACTCGATTTGGGAGGGTGCGACGGAGCTCAATGCCGATGTCTGGCGGATGCACCTGCGCGGCGCCACTGCTGCGCGCGGCTTGCCACTCGCTGGCGTCCACGAGAGCAAGAGAGAGATAGGGGGGAGAGCGAGAAAGAGAGAGAGAGAGAGAGAGAGAGAGAGAGAGAGAGAGAGAGAGAGATGAAACGGCGAGAGGGGAGAGAGAGAGAGAGAGAGAGAGAGACGAGAGAGAGAGAGAGAGAGAGAGAGAGAAAAAAGAGAGAGAGAGAGAGAGGAAGAGAGAGAGAGAGAGAAATATATATATAAGAGAGGAGAGAGGAGAGTAGAGAGAGAGAGAGAGAGAGAGAGAGAGAACGAGAATAAAAGAGAGAGAGAGAGAGAGAGAGAGAGAGAGAGAGAGAAACAGAGAGAGAGCGAGAGATAGAGAGAGAGGGAAGGAGAGCGAGAGAGAGAGAGAGAGACAGAGAGAGAGAGAGAGAGAGAGAGAGAGAAAAAAAAAGAAAGATTTTTACGAGAAACAATAAGAGAGAGAAGGATAGAGGAGAGAGCGAGAGCAGAGAGAGGAGAGATGAGAGAGAGAGAGAGAGAAAAAAGAGAGAGAGAGAGAGAGAAGACGAGAGAGAGAGAGAGAGAGAAGACGAGAGAGAGAGAGAAAGAGGGAAAGAGATGAGAGGAAGAGAGAGAGAGGAGAGGTTAGAAGGAGAAAGAGAGAGAGAGAGAGAGAGAGAGAGAAGGAGATTTTTTTTTTTGAGAGAGAGATGAGAAGAGAGAGAGGGAGAGAAAGAGAGAGAGAGAGAGAGAGAGAGAGAGAGAGAGAAGAGAAGAGAGAGAGAGAGAGAAAGAGAGAGAGAGAGAGTCAGAAAGAGAGCGAGAAAGAGAGAGAGAGAGAGAGAGAGAGAGAGAGAGAGAGAGGAAGATGGAGAAAAAGAGAGAGAGAGAGAGAGAGATAACAACAAAAAATAAAGATTGGCCAGCGCATCCCGGGGGAAAATCAACGCAGACATCAGTGTTGCCACTCGTAAAATTCTGCCGGTCATCACTCCGCCCGTCTTCCCATAACTGCTCGGTGACGCAAGTCGAATCGGCCATTGCTCCTCCAACGTCCGCCCAGTCCCCGAGAACCAACGCGAACTCCACTGAGCTCGCGAAACCAGCAAACATAACACAAGTGAGATGGTTCTCTTGCATCTGGCTGCCACGACCTCATTCCCTCGCTGGGCACCTGGGGCGAGCGCCCCCGTCGGGCCCCCCTGGAACTCCGCAGCCTGCCTCCGAGCCCGACCTGGAAGATCACCCTGGAAGTCCTCGCGAAGACTTGGGAGACGCCTGACTGCCGATCCCAGGTCCATCCGCGGAGCCCACCTAGCCGCTTCAGCCCTCTGCTGGGCCATGCCGCGACCCCCCGCATCTATTCGAGCCGCGTCCTGCCGCGCGATCGAGGGGACGGGGCCCGAAGGACTCGAACCAGCGTATCCGTCGGCCCGTCGGCCGTTTTTTTGTTCGAGTGACCTCGAGGCCTGTCTTTCCGGCCCCCCGTCCCTGGATCCGATTCTAAGCTCGGCCTGCGCGGCCACTCCCCCTGGGCCCCTGGTCCTAGGCTCGGTGGTTGACCTGGGTCCGAGCTTGCCTGGCGGCTCGGGTCAGCGGGCGCCGTGCTCGCGACGTCCGAGGCAGGGGCCAAGGGCGCCCCCTGGTGAGAAACTGGCTGCGGGGGCGCACTCGGGCCGGCACTCGACTCCGCCCGCCCTCCCATAACTGCTCAGTGGCGCAAGTCGAATATGCCTTTGCTCCTCCAACGTCCGCCCAGTCCCCGAGAACCATCGCAAACTCCACTGAGCTCGCGAACGGCAGACATAACACAAATGAGATGGTTATCTTGCATCTGGCTGTCACGACCTCATTCCCTCGCTGGGCACCTGGAGCGAGCCCCCCCCTCGGGCCTCCCTGGAACTCCGCAGCCTGCCTCCGAGCCCGACCTGGGAGATCACCCTGGAAGTCCTCGCGCAGACTTGGAAGACGCCTGATTGCCGATCCCAGGTCCATCCGCAGATTCCACCTAACCGCTTCAGCCATCTGCTGGGCCATGCCGCGTTTCCCCGCATCTATTCGAGCCGCGTCCTGCCGCGCGATCGAGGAGACGGGGCCTGGAGGACTCGCGCCAGCGAGTTCGTCGGCCCGTCGGCCGCCCCTCGCCTGAGTGACCTCGAGGCCTGTCTTTCCGGCCCCCCGTCCCTGGGTCCGATTCCATGCTCGGCCTGCGCGGCCGCTCCCCCTGGGCCCCCTGGTCCTGGGCTCGGTGTCTGGCCTGGGTCCGAGCTTGCCTGGCGGCTCGGGTCAGCAGGCGCCGTGCTCGCGACGTCCGAGGCAGGGGCCAAGAACGCCCCCTGGTGAGAAACTGGCTGCGGGGGCGCACTTGGGCCGGCACTCGCGGTGCGACCAGGTGCCGAAGCTGTCGGGGGCGCGTCTCCTGGGCCCGCGGCGGCCCGCAGCCCGCTTGACCTGTGGCCCGTGGGGGCGGGGGGGGAGCATCTCAACAACTCGAGCAAGGGGGGGGGGAAGGGCTTCCCGAGCTTCCAGAGGGGGGGCCTTTACGGAGGACGTCAACACCGGGCCGCTTGTGACCGAGCTGAACGTCCCGGATCAGATCCTTGATCTCTAGATCGAACATCAGCTCAGCCCCCTTAGCCTCCGCGCCTGTGGCTGGGCACACCTTTTCCGTGGCGTGCTCCCGCGGCCTAGACCGCGTCGCGATCCAGACCGGTTATGCTGCTGCAGCGCCGCGGCCCTGGGGCCCGCCCACCTGTCCCTCTGGGGGGTGAAAATTGCCGCCCGCCAGTGGGTGCCCGGCGCCAAACGTGAACCCACTGGCCCGCGGCGAAGGTTTGCCTCCTGTGAAGCCTGCTACGGTTGGCCTCCCTCGCCCGCTGCTTGCTCGCGGTTTGGAACAGGGAGCGCCTGGCGGACTCGCGAGCGGCCGGCTCTGGCGAAGTCCGATGCTGCCGAGTCTCTGCCACGCGCGGTCTGCAACAGGTCGGCCTGTCCAACTCCCGAAACAGCATCGTCGCTCAACAACTCGTTGGATAAACGCGGATTTTGGCCCAATACCAACTGGCGCGGCGCATGTCCTCCTCGAGGCAGGTAGCGGCATTTTGAGGTCACGATGCCGTGTAATAACATGTCGAACTCGGCGACAACGGAAACAACACTCTGCCCGATGCTGCGTAACGTCGGGTCAGTGACCCAGCCGCCGCGCCTCCCATCGTCTGGTCTCCCAGGGGGCCTCGCTGTTAGCGACGTGCTGTAGGACACCTTGCTGTTCGAAGTCTCGCTCAAACTCGCCCTGGCAATCTGGGCCGCCGTCCGTGATGCGCGCGTCTGATGGTCCGGAATAATGGATCCAGGACTCCATCGTTGCCCGCCAGGCGTCCTTCGCGCCTCCTGCGTACCTCATAACTACCTGGAAGTTCACCACGTGGCGCACAATGTTGAGGAAGCCGTTGAACTCGGCCCCGAACAGGGCGAAGAGTGTCGACAGCGATGCTCCTATTGAGCTGGAACGTCCTGGGGATAGCTACCTGGCGGCGCTTGCCTTCTCCTGCGCCTCGCAGGCGTCGCGCGAGAAATGGCCCCGGGCCCGCGCTAGAACCTCCGGGCGTGCCTGGGCAGCGTGAGGACCTGGGCGAACACTTCCTTCCGAGGGTGTCCAAGGTTGATATGGGCATGCGTGATGATACATCATATATTCGCGTTAGTGCGATGCGGAGGGTCGGGCCCGTCTTCGACGTCGGGGACCTCCTCGCCGCCCTCCCCCGGCCCCGCCGGGTGGCCCCCGACGCCGTCGGCCTCGACGGGGAAGGGGGCCTTGGACGTCGAAAAGGGGGCCTCGGCATGCGTGAGACAAGGCGGCCCGCCGTCGGCAATGCCCCTCCATGCAGCCAGGGCCGGGCGATGCGCGAGCTCCCCGGGATGGGCCCGGGACTTCTTCGCGAGGGCCGATGGCTCCAGGTGAACGCGAGCCTCGACGCAGCAGCGCCTGAAACCTGAGAGGCCCCGAGCACTTTTCTTTCCATGGCCCGACCCCGAGAAAGTGTTCCGGGGGAAACTTCCTACCTACCCGACGTTGCTTGTGGGAAAGGCGAACGGCGAATCGCAGAAGGGCCATGCCTCCGACGTCTTTCCAGCGCATTCTCGGCTGAGGTCCGCTCGCGCCCTGTCAGTCAGATCTGACTGAACGCGCTGCGCGGGGCCTGTGATCCGCTGGCCCAGTGTTGCTCCTCATCCAAGATCTGCTCGGCGCTGGCCTGCTCCGATGATTTCATGCAATCGCAGCCGGTCTCCTGGCCCCCGCTCTCGGGCCGATTCGCTACCCGGAGCTCCTGGGGGCGGCGCGAGGGGGGGGGGGGTGTTCTACGCGCGAGCTGCTCGTTGGTTTCCGTCGGGCGGTCGTTGGAATGTGCCAGCGCTTGATATGTCAGCTATGCGGGTAACCTAACCTCGTGGTCGTCGTTGGCGGTGCCCCCCGAGGTGGCGTTGACACGCGACTGCTACCGGCAAAAGGACTACTGCTTCTCCATTTTCGCAAATGCCCGTCACGGGCGGCGGTTCGCCCTGGGCCAGCTCGCGGAGTCGAGCGATGGGGCTCCGGATCAGGCCAGTAGGCCACGAAGTCCGTCTCCCTCTGCTCGAGGGGCGCGGCTTCTCGTAGCCTCTGGCGCGTCTCCCTCGGGGCGCAAGCGACGAACTTCGGGGCTATCTTCAATTTCCGCCTGACATCTGCCCCGGGTTCGACGCGCGGCCCGAGCCTCGCGTCGGCCCCGCTGGGGTCGTTCTGGAGCTGCTGAACTCTCTGGAGGCACCTGCTAACTCGATGACTTGTCGATGCCCTGGACGGCTTGGTCCTGCTGCTGAATAGCGCCAGCCATGCGCTCCATGGCCTGGCAGTTCTCGACCATCATCTCGCTCGTGGTCTGCTGCTGGGCCTTCAACGAGCTGATCTGCTCCATCTGTGCACTCATGAATGCGGTCGTCGACTGCCGCTGACTCGCCTGCGCCAGGGCGCGAGGGCGACGCTCAGACAGGTCAACTTCTCCTGGGTGCCCCTGATGAGGCGGGGGGGGGGGCGACCGGGAGCTCCTCCACTTCCGTGGGCTTCTCCTCGTCCTCCATTGGCTCGCGCTGCCTGGCCAGCTGATAGCGGCGGCGCATGCCCTCGTCCGTGTGCGCTCGCTCTCTCTTGACCAAACGCTCCTTCGCCGTCTCGGGATCGCGGCCGCGGCGAGGCCCGGTCTTCGTCGACGGCTCTGGGCGACCTCCTCGCTCGCGAACGTGAACGCGTGGTGGCTTCTTGTGGCCCGCGCTGCATGCGCCCCCTGCCCCTTCGAATTGTGGTGCGCGACCCGCTGCCCGCGCGCCTGGCAGTGCCACCGCTGGCCGTGCCCGTTCCCCGAGGACGAGATCATCGCCTCGGGGTGCCCGCGCTGCATTCTGCTCCCTCGAGTCTGCGGTCCGCCTTCTTGGTCATGGCGGAAAAGGGCCTGTTGCTGACTGGCGTCTGGCGCTCCAGGCCCAGGGTGTAGGCCGTGCCCGTCCCCGCGAAGTGGGCGCCGCCCTGCGACCATGCTTCGCCGCGATGTCGACCGGGGCCTCGTTGCCCGAGAGGCTGTTGTGCCTGGTCAAGCAGGCGCTCGCTTCAGCAGACGCCCTCGTTCCGCTGGCGAGACTGGCGTTCTCGGAGCCGCTGGTCGGAAGCGAGGGCGCCCTGCTTGAGACGAGAGGGGCCGCGCGGGGCCGCTGCGACTGCGAAGCGGTCGAGTGGCTCGCCATCGTTCTCTCTGCCCTCCTCTGGCTCTGGAACGAAGGAAAGACGCCAGAGAATTTGGTCATCGGCGACTGCGGAGCTTCCGCCGGGGTCACAACCTTCGCCGGCCAGAGAGAGACCAGGGGGGGGAGAAAGTCTGAAAAGGGCTCGCGACCAAGTGGGGGGACATCCCCTCGCGAGCTGATGGGCGCACGTACACAGCAAAGGCATGCTCTTTATCAATCACGTCCTCTTCAAGCATGCCATGCTGCGTCTCGACGCCCGTCGGAATGAAGGCCGTCGAGAGCGCTTCGGCCTTGCCCCTGACGCCGCCCGCGGCCGCGTGCCGCGCGGGGGCGTGCACCGCGCGGTGCCCCAGCTTGTTCAGGTGGCTGCTGAGGTCCGCTAGTGCGTCCTTGCCGATCGGGCCCTGGCCGGCGGCGGTGTCCAGGATGGCGAGCCCGGCTCGGGCCCTGAGACCCCCTGGCTTCGCGTTCCTTGTCACCTGCGGGACCTTCTCCTCGCGTGAGCTGTTGTCGGTGCTGATGGTCGCCCCCCGCGCCGTCGCCTCTCTCGACGGGGGCGCGTGGCTCTGGGCGGCGAACGAATGATCCTTGTCGTTGGGGTAGCGAATGGCCATGCCCGCCCAGCCCTCCTGGGGCCTCTGCCGACAGGTCGCCCTCCGCCTGAGCCCCCGCTGGGCCGAGCTCTCTCGCCGCCGCGCCTGGGCCGCCGACCCCGTCGGGGCACTCGTCGCCCCAGTGGCCCTTCATCTAGCAGATCCTGCACTCGGCCCGCTTGGTGCTCTTCGACAGCGCCAGCCGCAGCTTCCGATCTCTCTGAACGCCGCGGGCGCTTCGTTTCCCCTCGGGGCGCCTCGGGCGCTCCGCGGCGTGGGGTCCTGGCGGCGGCGTCTGGAAGCACCGTCGGTCGGTCCTGGAATTTCCTCTTCAGGTCTCTCTTCTAGTTTTCCTTGCCCACGCGCTTTTGGCGCATGGTTGCTTCGATCAACGTTGGAACGAGACCTTCCCCCCAAACGACATGACCCCGCCCTTTGAACAATGCTGGGGAGGGGCGGGGATAGGGGTCCACATGCGGTTCCGGGAAAAATCCCAACGTTGCAACAAAAAAAACAAACGTAAGCGCTGGACGATGAAAACGAAATAATATTCAAATATGAACATGCCGCCATCGATAGAACAACAAAAACATTTCCAGTCCGGGTAAATCGCGCCAGTTCTGTCTGTTATACACTCAGGTCGGTTGGTGCCATTTGAAATTTCGGCCCGGAATCTCAAATCGCATAAGACAGCCAGACAATCGGCCCGGCCAGGCCAAGTAAGCGCCGCCGGCCAGGGAAAATCGGTCTGGCGGCAAGTCGCGGGCGATGAGCGCAGCGTCGGGCGCCCGGAAAAAAATACAAGGGCGCCCGCAAACGTTGACGAGTGTCCCCGTTCGGGAATGTCACTTTCGGTTCGGGTATCGGATACGGGTGATGGGCGGATATTACAAGAATTTGATCTGCGCGGTGCAGATTCGCGTGTTTGACCCGTCGAACCACTGCGCCCACTCCGATTTCGAAGGGTTTTAAGCGGACTCGAGCGGTGGGAAAATCGAATGTCGCCACGGCCGGCGCAGGGGCGCGGAGCAGGCCCGACAGGGGGAAAATGAGCTCTAGTATTCTACGAATTCAGGCGTTCCTTCTAGAACTGTACTCGACCGGCTCCTTCCAGAAATTTCCCCAGACATTGCTGAACTGCTCTTCTGGTTTCCGTAATTTTGTCAGTCGTGCGTTCTGATCACTGGACCACGCCGTTGCGGCGTCGTCGTCGTCGCAGACGCCTCCTTGAGGTTCAGACCCCGGTCGCGCGTTGATCCGGTCGCGCTTCCAATCCAATCAAATTGAATTACGCTTCCCGTCCAAAAAACATCGCGCCTACTTTTTGCTTGTCAGTTACAAACTAGCAGGTGCAGATGGTGCGATTTGACAAGTCGGCCTGGAGTCTCAAATCGCACGAGACGGCCGTGCTCTTGGCCCAGCCACCCGAGTAAAATCCCACCAGCCCTTTGGGCGTGAGTGGTTTAGAGAGCTCTCTCTGTCCTCAACCCCCCTTCTTCCCCTTCGGGGAGGGGTTTACCCCTCCCCCTACCCCCTCCCCCTGGACCTGGACAGGGAGTCCGGGGCGTAGTCAGGGGGGTCTTTTTTGACTCCTGGGAGGACCAAAAAACGACGACCCTCACGAGGATTCTGGCCCCGTCGGGGGGATACAGTTTGGCCCCTCTGCTCTTCTTTGAAGCCAAAATCGTTGATTTTACTACGGTTTTGGCCCCATGTTGGCCTCCTGAGGGGGCCGCGCTCATCTTCCTTCATAGCAAAATCATTGATTTTACGAAGGTTTCGGGCTCATTTTGTCCTTCTCAGGGGGCAGCGCTCATTTGCGCTTCTGAGGAGGTCGCAAGAGGCCCCAAGATGGCCCCAAGAGGCCCCCAGGAGGCTCCCAAGAGGCCTCCAAGAGGCCCCTCAGAGGCCCCCACGAGGCCCCAAGAGGCCCCCAAGAGGCCCCCAAGAGGCCCCCGAGAGGCCCCAAGAGGCCCCCATAGGCCCCCAAGAGGCCCCCAAGAGGCCCCCAAGAGGCCCACAGAGGCTCCAAGAGGAGCCCGAACGACTCACACCAGGAGAGGGCCCCTAACGGACTCACACACCACGAAGAGCCCGAACGACTCAAACACAAGGAGGGGCCCGAACACGGACTCACACCAGGACGAGGCGCCCGAAGGACTCACACCACGAGGAGCCCGAACGACTCACACCACGACGCCCGGGGGCCCCTGAACGATCACACCACGAGGAGCCCGAACGGAGGGTCACACCAGGAGGAGGGGCCCGAACGACTACACACCAGGACCAGGATGAGGGGCCGAACAACTCACACCACGAGAAGCCCGAACGACTCACACCAGGACGAAGAGCCCGAACGACTCACACCACGAAGAGCCCGAACGACTCACACCAGGAAGAAGGGCCCGAACGACTCACACCAGGACGAGAAACCCCAAACGACTCAAATCACGAGGAGCGCTTTCTCTCCCTCCTCCTCCGCCTCGCCCTTTTCCCGCTCCCACCACAAAGGAGGATGTTCAAGGAGGCGGGAGGAAGGAGGAACAGGGAGATATACGGGGCCAAGCGGACACACGCCTGAAAAACACGACTGTCGGCATGCTTCGCGAGAGTTGCTGCTGTGAGATGGGCTGGTGGGGATACGCGAAGCGTAAAGAATTCTACAAGGAGCGCCTGAATCTAACTATAATAAGCGCCTTTTCCCCAGGTCGCGCCTGCTTCGTGCCCCTGCGTGAAGCGTCCTCGGGATCCTTCGATGATACATAAAAGGTGCAATTGTCCGACAGGATCCGTGCCGAAAACGCGATGTGTCCACTGCTGCGTCGAATACATATCGAATTCGCGTATCACTCATCTCATCCAACAAGCGTCGGATCCGCACAGGAGCCGCAGTCTGGGCAGAGGAAGAAGAGGTCGCAGTGTCGGCATCTCTAGCGTTCCATGCGTTCCATTATGCGAATCTCTACCGGCGGTCGCGTGCATGCGAGGGGGTTGAGGGGCCCAGGGGCTCGGGAACATAATTTCCCTCGTCACCCCCACGCTTGCGCGCGTCGGCTTGACCGACCCGTCGACGTCCGACGATGCGGAGACGGCACCGTCGGACTCTGAGGAATCGGAATCAATGACGTAGGCCTGGTTGACCGACGTCGGTAGTGGGGACAGCGGAGGCCCCCGACCATGCTACTCAATTTCGCCCTCTCCTGCAAGATGGCCATCCTGCGGGGTGTCTGGGCGGCCCGCACCGTGGTTCGAGGATGAGCCCGCGCCGCCTGCAGAATCTGGTTTGGTGAGATTCTGCGGCGGGCCCGCGGCCGCGCCAGTGACGCAATCACTGGGCGCCGCCGCGACGGTCATCTTACCAGGTGGAATTCACCATGAATTTGTACGGTAGGTACGGGCCCAGTACCCGTTCCATCAATGAAGATCTCACTCGGGTCCGTTATCATTCCGCACTTGTTGTGTCCGGTAAGCGAATGTGTCAAGATAAGTGTGCGTGTGCTCAGGAGCGCCCGACGCGGGCGAGTGGAGGACGCGCGCGCGTGCGGACTTGTATCGCTGAGCGCAAATAGCTGCAACGATCCAAGCAGTCCTATTTCCATGATCGCAGGCGCCGCCAACTCTTTGTCGGG